CACACCTTCTCATTCAATGCGTTTTCTTTATTTTCATGACTATTTACATTGTAGATTCTCACTGAAGGCATCAAAACTATGAATGAACACATGTGGAGTTATGTACTTAACAAAAAAAGGTGAAATAACTGAAAACATGTTTTATATTCTAGTTTCTTCAAAATAGCCACCCTTTGCTCTGATTACTGCTTTGCACACTCTTGGCATTCTCTCGATGAGCTTCAAGAGGTAGTCACCTGAAATGGTTTTCCAACAGTCTTGAAGGAGTTCCCAGAGGTGTTTAGCACTTGTTGGCCACTTTGCCTTCACTCTGCGGTCCAGCTCACCCCAAACCATCTCGATTGGGTTCAGGTCCGGTGACTGTGGAGGCCAGGTCATCTGCCGCAGCACTCCATCACTCTCCTTCTTGGTCAGATAGCCCTTACACAGCCTGGAGGTGTGTTTGGGGTCATTGTCCCCAGTACATAACTCCACATGTGTTCATTCATAGTTTTGATGCCTTCAGTGAGAATCTACAATGTAAATAGTCATGAAAATAAAGAAAACGCATTGAATGAGAAGGTGTGTCCAAACTTTTGGCCTGTACTGTATATTAGGGGTGTCCCCAACTAAGAATTTTCATAGTCGAATCTGATTTGACAGATGTTGTTTTCCCCCTCATTGATTAATGAGCTCATTTGCGTCAGTTTCCGCTCCAGAGAAAAGAGCTAAAACACCCAAATAAACAAATTTAATTCTTCAGTTGGCATAATAAGATAATAATAATAAAAGTAAAAGGGTTATCATTTTATCTTAATCTTTATTCCTTTCACTTCATCGAGGTATGATGCTCTAGATGAGCGCAGACGTGACTACGGATGAGCATGTTGGAGATATTTTGTGGTTTCAATTTTGTGTTCTTGGACGTTAGTCTGGGGCACCGTCAGCCATTAGGTGTGCTAGCCGCTCCCCCCGCCGATCTCTGCAAGGGATGTGAGGACTCTAAAACTTCACCAGGGCCTCCGTCGGCATATGGGTGAGTAGATAATGGCTGAATTTTCATTTTTGGATGCACTATCCCTTTAATTCTTTGTGGCATAGATTCAACAAGGTGGTGGAAACAGTCCTCAGAGATTTTGGGCATATTGACATGATAGTGTCACACAGTTGCTCCTGATTTGTTGGCTGCACATCCATGATACAAATCTTTGTTCCAGAACATCGTAAAGGTGCTCTATTGAATTGAGATCTAGTGACTATGGAGGCCATTGGAGTACAGTGAACTCATTGTCATGTGCAAGAAACCAGTTTGAGATGATTTGAGCTTTGTGATATGGCATGCTATCCTGTTGGAAGTAGCCACCAAAAGTAAACTGTGGTTATAAAGGGATGCAACAACATTCAGGTAGACTGTGGTGTTAAAACAATGCTCAGTTGGTACTAAGGGGCCGAAAGTGTGCCAAAAAATATCCCCCACACCACTACACCACCACCAGCCTAAACCATAGATACAAGGCAGGATGGATTTATGCTTTCATGTTGTTTATGCCAAAGTCTGACCCTACTATGTGAATGTTGCAGTAGGGACTGAGACTCATCAGACCAGGCAACATTTGTCCAATCTTCTGTTGTCCATTTTTGGTAAGCCTGTGTGAGTTGTAGCCTCAGTTTCCTGTTTTTGGCCGACAGGAGTGGCACCCGGTGTGGTCTTCTGCTGTGTATCTGCTTCAACACCAGCCACTCCAGCCACTGGTGTACTGTGATAACAGGTCGAACACAAGGTCTCCCTATATACAGATGACCTGCTTGTTTATGTTTCGGACCAGGTGAGATCACTACCACATATCCTTAAGACCTTGAACAT